CAAGCCTACCGTTCGGGTGGGCGTTCGGATCCATACAAGACCTCACATCTTAATCAAAGCCCAAGCCTACCGTTCGGGTGAAATCTGGTGCGAAGTCTTCGCGCGGAGGCGGTTATTGCTCCAGCCACACGTGCGCCCCGCCCGACCCTCGCGCCCGGATTGCGTCGGAAGCCTTCTTGCGGCCCCCGACACCCCTACGTCGCGGTACACTCACTGCGCCGGTCCGCGCGCAGCTGTGCCGAACAACCCGCAGGCTGCGCGCCCGGGGAGCGGCGCCAGAGGCCGTACTCTGGCAAAAACATGGGCCGAACCCGCGTCGCCGGAGGATCAAAAGCTCCCGCGCGGCCGTCGGCGCCGATGGGCCCCCGGGCGAGGGGAGCGGGCGCCCTTTGTGCCGCATCGGGCGGGGGCCTTCTCGGCGCGTCACCCTGCGTGTCATCCGCGGAGGCCGGCGAGAGGGGACTGCGGGTGCCGTGACGAGGGTGGGGCGCGGCACGGGCTGCCGACGCCCGGACGTCGCCGCCGGAGACGACGACGCGGCCGGGTCGACTTGAACGTTGGGATGCGGCGGGTGGTTGCGGACCAGCCTGGTGGTGCGGATCGTGGCCCATGTCGTCTGCTCTGTGAGCTGTTCAACGGCAGGCGAGCAGCTGTCCGGCCCTTGCCCGGTACTGGTCGCTTCGTAAGTTGTTCCCTGGCAGGCGCCGAAGCATTTTGATATGAGCTCCTGAATATCTGCCATCGCTTTTTCGACACGGTCGTCGACGACGGTCAGCTAACTCACAGGCAAACCTGCGTTGCTAACGTGAGTGCGAGTCGCTGCGGCTTCTCCCTGCACCTGCGCACGCGTCTTCCCGATTACGTCACGGCCGCAAGACATGATCGACGCAGCAGGCTTTTCGCGATGGTTGAATATGCAAAAATAGTTACGTTGGAAGAAAGTCGGGAATGTGAAAAGTCGGTGCGACCAGTGGAGCCGGACACTGAAGTCACTAGAGTACAATTTGTTTTGATGCTCACCATATATTATTGTGCAAATATTCTCAAACGCTACTGTGTCGTGGCCAATTCCCTCAGCCAATGAAAATGTTTTCGAAAAGTGAGGCAATATTAAAGGCAGAATAAATTAACTTGTTGTACTTCAGCTGTCGTATACCATCATTTGTTATCGCCTATGTCAGACTAACTAATTGAAGCTTTCAACCTGATCCACTCTTGAGTATTTTGGTGATGATGATAATTAATGATTTGCTAATGTTAGAGGCCAGCGAATCAGAACAAGCGAACAAGAGGCAAAAACTAGTATCGGACATCACATTAGTAGGCGCGGAGCTTGTCCGAAAAAGTGACATGACAAACGAATGCGGCCAATTTACCACCACCCTGGTAAGCCCGCACCATGCTATAGCCTGGCCGAGATCGGCTGCAAGGCACGGCTCGTGATCTATTTCCAACCTGACGCCTCCGCGCCCCTGCACGCCAGCATCTCGCCCGCCCGCGCTCGCCCGGCCCCGCCAGCACAGTCCCGCTCCCCGCGCCCCTGCGACCCGACCCCGACACGGCGTCACGTGACCACGGGCCAATCACTGCGCGCCTCGCAGGGCTGCCCGGCGTGTCGCGCTGGGCAAGCGATAAGGGTATGGGCAAAGAGATATGCGCACAGGGTTCTACGGCCAAACTAAAGCACTGATGTCATCCCTAACACTTGACCAATGAAGCGTGGTGGAGACCCCGCATATGTGGCGACCAAGGCATGCAAGCGTGAGTACCGGATCGTATTTATTCGGAGAGGAGGCGGAGGCCCTTCAGGTCACAGCTTAGCCTTGTTCCCCTGCCCCAAATCTGACCAAAAGCCACTCACCCCTCAGATCGCGGTCAAAAAAGGTCAAGCAATTCAAGGAGGTGAGTGAATCATGAGATAGCGTTTAATTTTCCCCGGATACCAAAACGAAATGGACCCGATGCGAGAGAAGACGGCGTTTTAACCCACCACATCCTACCGGTGCAGCCACCACTCAAAGAGGCTGCTTTTGCAAAACGATGTCCACGCATGCAGGCCCATGATCGGTGACAGACTGACCCGGCGTTCGTCCCATTTTCCAGTGAACCCTTCCCGAGCCGATCATTGAATTATTCGAGGAGTCAGGCAAGGTCAGCAGGGACACAGGCTTATTCAGCATGGTTGTTATCCACTCACCCCAGTTGTTCCACAGAGCGTCATTTTCAGAGACCTGGGCTGACTCCCCTCGCCCCCCCCCCCCTACCGAGCGTCCTCCGCGCGGCGGGAGAAGACGGAATCATGTTATGATTCTGTCTGTGATTGAAGGCGCTCATGGGCACGATTCTGCTTGGACGTGTGCCCCCCTGCACAATTATGACACCCGCAAAACGTGTGTCTAAGCTTGCGAACAATGCGACTTGGGCACGATCAGATCCCTAGTCTATTCATCATTTACAATTTGAGTGAGTGTGTTATGCGCAAATTGGTCGTTGTGTCTATAAGTGCATGCATCAATGCATATGTGAAGGTGAGAGCACGCGAGACAATAACATCTACATGCACTCAGTGTCCACCGTTCATGACTTAGTGAAACACTGGAGTGTCCAAGATGGAGCTTCGGAGAAGGTAGCTGTTTTATGTGTTTAGAATGAGACCGTTGAGGAGGAACTGGGGAAGAAAAACTCGAAGGCCCCGAAGAAGTCCAGGTCTCAGGGAAATCATGAGCCAAGGTGGCGTACTCTGATCTTAGCGCTGTGAAAGAGATGGGTAGTTGCAAGGCAGCCAATAGATTGCGAACAGTGTTGGAACACTGAAAGTAAAGCTGATGAAAAATGGCACTTCATTAACACGATAACACAATAAATCAATCGGCAAATACCGTCTGGAAGTCTTGTCCATCCCTAAATATGGTTGCCATTACAACGCATATGTGACAATACTGCTGCTGCGAACTATGCAAGGATTTGCAGGGTGTTCGTCGTGTTACTCAGGCTACTAGATATTATTGTACGCTGCGCAGTACGCCACCAAACGATTTACTTCGTAGGTTGGTTGGCTGGAAGTCCATAATTAGAAAGATAAGGATAGGCATATACACCTGTCAGAAAACCGAGTGAGACGGACGTTTGCAGGAGCTCGGTTTGTGTTGGTGGTTGGCACATGCTCTTTATATTAAAATCAGTGGGGAATGGAATATTTAACGCCTGCGCTGTGTACTGCTGCGGTGGCGTATTTAAGTGAACATGGGTTGTAATTTGTATGCAATGCAATAAGCCACAAAGGGACTACCCACTTATACAATGCTCTCATGAGGCTTGAAAGCAAGTGTGATGATTGAAAGCTGTATGTAGCTTATGCCTTACTGTTATGATGGAAGTATGATACAGTTATTTTCTTCTGCTGCTAAGAAGTAAAGCTATCTTCCTGTTCAATAACAATACCCTTTTCATCAGGATATGGAACCAAACAAGTGGCTATTTATTTATCACATCTTTTTTAATGTTGTAACCCCACTTGCCCAATTGCTCTGTTTCAAATGCCACAGTTATGGGCATTTATGTGTATTGTTTGGAGTTTACCTATGTTGATCAATTTATTTTTTGAATTATTTGGCTCAGACCTGTGTTGTACCTGAAAATGCAATTGCTCACATTGATTGAGGTGAAAAGACAATGGGCACTGAATCTGACAGCTCTTGTCACTAGCCAGCACTGTGATTTTTATTGTAATCATGCTATTCTAGTAAGTTTGGCTTTGGAGCATTCATGTTATTATTAACCTATTTGGCCTGTTGCCAGCAGTGTAAATCAGCATTGTTACCTCCTTACTCTACAAAGTTTGATTTCAGGAGATTAGGGACAGCCTCTGAAACAGGCCTGTTCTTCACATCAAAGTTCAAACATGGACCTGTTGGGGTCTATAATGAGTAAGATGGAGAAGCCTCCAGTAACAACTACCCAAGCACAGAGGGAAGCAAAGAAAACAAATAGAGGAAGCAAAGAAACTGAAAGAAAAAAAAGGAAATGCTCCTGAAGTTTCGCAAAGAGGTATGCAGGGTGTTTTCTCCTGGTATGTTGTATGTATATGTTGTGATGTGTGTGTGTGTTAGTGGCTCATATCGTGCTTCCATCTGTCTTGTTATTTGACAAACAGTATTGCTGAATGGTGACTATTTCTTCATTTTTGAAAGATATGAGCCTTGGTCTGAAATCCCAGGAGTCAAATGTTGCACATGATTGCTATTGATAGAACTGTTTTTCTAAGATGCAAATTCCTCCAGTTTTTTGGACCTTTGGTGATTCAGATATCAGGGGGCCACTGTCAACTTGTAAAAGAGTATCATGCATTGATTGCATATTTTGCCTTGTCCAATCAATGGTATCAAGTCTGCAGCCCTCTCAAGGCACTGTTAGTAGATCAGACTCTTGTGTTAGGTAAACTAGGCCAATTATTCACCTAACATAAGCTATTTGTCCTTTTATCATCCCCAGGCCATTGGGCACCCAGTTTGATTCAGAATGCATTTGCATGAGTAATTGGATGCATTTTTTACTTCATGCTTGAGATTGACATGGTCAAACCTGATCTGGAGGGTTAGCAAGAAGCCTCCAGTACTGTGAGTTCAAGTACTAGTTGACTGCTTAGCTGGCTTTGAGCACATCATCTGCTTTACTCGTGATAGATAAGGTAGTAGGGATGTCCTTATTCCTCAGAAAAAAAACAGGAGAATAGAGATATAGATGTGGTGATATTTTGGCAACATGCCTATAGAAGTGAATAACAGAAGGCCATTCTATATCTCATATCTCCTGTTTTTTTCGCCGAGGGAAGAAGGCCATTACTACTGCCTCATCTATGTGCATAACGTTCCTCACAAGTGCATGTAACAACTTGCTGTAGTTTCTACTAAAATTGATGGAACTTCATTTGTTGCAGGCTGAAACATGAAGTACAGAAGTTCATGAAAGATGATGTGTTACTGAAGAAGCAGTTTCCGCCAATGAATGAAGTCCAAAGGAGCATACTGTGAGCATGCAACATATGTTTTTTTTCATTCCATTGGTAGATGGTACAAATAACCCATATATGCAGTTAATGGGCTTATAAGTAAGTTATTAGGCTTCTGGCACTTTTCAAACAGTACCATGTTCATCTCTGTATGACCTTGCCATATTTATGGTTTGTCATGTGATATTTTGCAAGGTCTTGTAGCTGGGTGTCTCCACTCACATCACTAAGTAGCTGCTACTAGTGCAAAAGGATTGAGCAATAAAAAGCATGATTTACAGCTTTAGTATTTCTAAGTTGAGGGGAACACGGATAGCTTGATCAACCGACTTTTCCGCGTGAGCAGGGTAGCACAACGAAGATACTGCTACTCCGCTGTTCCTTGCTTCTGCTCGCCGTTCTGCACAATTGTGGCCCTGGAAGCGCTGCCATATGACACCGCTACATAAATACTCCAGCGGTGGAGCGGCGAAAAGAAGTTCCGATATGGTCTGGCAGGGATGCTCTTCCTTTTTTCTGTACGTGGCTGAACAGAGAGATTAATCGCGGGCGGTGGCATCTCCTTAAGCCCACACAGTGGTCTCGTTCTCGTAGTGGGATTCATCCCTTTAGCCCACACAGCGTTCTCGTTCTCTTGTGGGATCGCAGGCTGGATGACCACGGCCCGATGACCTGTGCTTTGCTGACCGGCAGCCACGATGTGGCCGAGGTGGCGGGCCTCGTGTGTCACGCGTTCGGCGAGGAGGGCGTCGACCGGCACATCATGCTGTTCAAGAAGGAGTACGAGCTGGCGGCCGAGGAGGTGGCCGCCCTGCGGCGCGGCGAGGAGTACGACCCGGCCCGGGCCAAGGAGGAGGGCGTTCCAGGTGTGTGGCGTCGCCCAGGCGGCGGGAGGGGGTGAGCCGATGTCGGACGAGAAACGGGCCCGCCCAGCCAGCTGTGCAAGTGTGTGTGTTTTTTGAAGTATAGTAAACCACAATCCTTGTAATTTGTGACCAGTTTTTTTTTGTTCTTCTGCTTGGTGACCGGTGCAGAACAACGGTGAATTGAAATTGGTACTTGGCAAGTAATGTAGGGTTCGACTCACCGAACCTCTGTGTGGTGTTTTGACTTAGAGTTGTAGATTTGCCCAAATTCTGGGACCGGCACAGTGATGGTGCCAGTTCAGATGCGCTCGGTTCAGATTGGAACTGGCAAGGTTTGACTGATCTGGACCCTGCCATCAGCTTTCGTTACACGCAGTCACTGATGTGCACGTTTCCTACACCCTTAAACATACCAAGTTTGTGCTTTGTCGCCTTGTCAAAAACTTCGAAACAAAAGTTGCCTAAGTATTGCAGCGTAGTTATCGATGGACCGGCGATAAGAATGTTTTGTGAATCAACATCATTCGCAGTAACCTGGTTGAGTATTTTTAGCCTTGCGGTACGCCCAATTCCTGAAGATCACAATCTGGGGTGCAAAATTTGTTTTTATTGAAGCCAGGGGCACGGAAATTCATTAGAAGTTGTCTGAGCAGATGATGGAATGTATTGTGATCCCATTTGCCGTGTGAGACTACACGATACCAACAGCTATTTTGCTAGTGCGGATTTTAATATCGTGACAGCGTTAGTCGACGTTTGCGGCTGCTAACAGGCTAAGTCAGATTCGGGCGATTTCTTACAACAATGCCACAAGTAAGGCCAGTAAGATAAACAGGTAAAGAATCAAACCCAACTGCGTGCGGATCACCAGACAGCTGTCGCTAGAGACCACGCTCAGGGCGAATGCGTCCGCTTCTCGCCGGGGTCCACGCGACCTGGGACCAGACGCGTGACCCCCGTGACCCCATGTGCCCACAGCGTGACCTGGCCGAGCAGCTGGCGGAGCAGGAGCAGCGGCAGCGACGCGGCAAGAAGGCGCCACCGCCGCCGCCCGCCGCCTTCCTGCAGAAGCGACAGCACCTGTTCGCCGACGACTCTGCGCAGCGCGCCGCCGTCAAACTCGTCGTTTGGTGTTGGTGAGTACGACCGCGCCGGCCACGCCGAGCGCTGCCAACTGCAGACGTTTTGACCGAATGCGGTGTAAAAAATTAAGGCAAGGGGACCAGGCATCCCGTGCTTTTATCATGTGCTGAGCTGGTGGAGAAGATACCACGTGGACTTGCGGGCCTGAGCGATTTTTGTCTTGCGTCTCAGCGATGAGAGGTATGATACAGAGGTATGCCACAGAGGTATAAACACAGAGGTTAGGACACATAGTAAGACACAGAGGCATTGGTTTCAAAGGTATGACATTCAGAGATATGCCATCCCACTAATGACATTCATGGATATGGCACAGATGCATGCCTTTCAGAGGTATGGTACGGATATCTGTCATTCAGAGATATTACATTCAGAGGTGTGACATTCAGATGTATGGCACAAAGGTTTTGCCATTCAGGGGTGTGTACAGTGGTATGGCACAGGGGGTGTGCCGCTCAAATACCGGACCCTTTTTGTTGTGTTGTGTCGGTCTGACGATCACCACAAAGCCGTTGCATCAGATTGGACAACATGGAGATGGGAAATATGTCCCCATATTAAATATGCAATTCACGTATAGTGCAGTCCCTTTCCGTGATGAAGTGCACCGTCCTTTAACCGGCGTTGTGTCCGTGCTCGCCGCCAGTGTCGAGCTCTCGCTGAAGACCGACAAGCGGTCCATCGAGGAGACCCTAGCCGACATACGCGCCAAGAAGGCGGCGGCAGAGGGACGAGTCGGAGCAGGAGGCCGCCGACGGCGAGCCCGAGCCGGACACCGCGGCGCCAGATAGTGGAGCGCGCTCGACCCCAGGAACACTGTCGGGCGCGAGCTACGCGCTCGGGGTCCGTAACGCGCGCCGTCGCCGCCGCCGTCGCGTGTTTGCAGTGCTCCGCCGGTCCCGCAGGGCGTGGAGTCGCGGCGGGCGCGCGGCGCCGCCCCACCGAACGCGCCGCGCCGGCCGTGTGGCTGCCGCGGGCTTGGCACGCTGTCTGAGCGGCCTCTCCGCCTCGCCGTCCGTAGTCCGCAGGCGCCGGCGGCTGTAGGCGAGTGCGTATTTGTACAATGCCTCAGGGCGGGCACTGATTGCTGTCGTTTTCGACCCCATATCCTCTGTTAGTTGTGCTGTTCGCCGGTGCCGAGTGCTGTCGCGTCGGTGCCGATAATCCGCCCTCGTTTCTCAAGCCGGTCGGCCGGGCCTTTGTTGTCGATCTTCACCATAATGATTGCCTGGGAACGGGGCAGCAGCATGTTGTGCGCACGTCATCCAATCGCAATACAACCCGCAGAACATTTGTCTGAGCAGATTGACGTTCGGGAAGCGTTTACTGGCGAGGTCGAAGTTTTTTTCCCCATAATAACTCACCAGGTTTTTAATCATCCTAAAAGCGTGCTGAAAAGCTTGGGGGTTAATGTTGGTATATGGTTTTGTTATCAGTTCAAGCAGTTGGAGATACCTACCCCCCCCCACCCCCCCCCACACGCCAAACTCAGGCTATAGTCCTCTAAGCTTGAGAGGAAAGTAGTTCAAATCCAGGAAGAAGCCGTTTTTGGCAGATCTCGGATTAGGTTTCATAATTTTTGGCAGCTCAATCCCCCCCCCCACTCTCACTAAGCGGAGCAGCGCCCCTGGGTAACGAATTAGTGGGTCGTATGCTGTCACCAATATCTTGTTTCGGACGAGCATGCCATATCAATTCCGCGTTTCACATCTATTTTTGCCAACAGTTCCCATATCTTTTGGGGGCAATAGCCTCCAGCCCCGAATTTACATCTACCGATGAAGCGATACACTAAACTTTCAGTCGAGCATTGAAATTGGGAGAACTACGTACGAAACACAAACAATACGTACGAAAAACGCGTATCAGCCGCTATGCCCGGGAAATTCTCAAACCAGATTGGGAAGGGTTTGCTTCTCTCTTCTCTAGATCTTGTTTCCATTTCTCAAAAAACCATGGGCCCGCCTAGATGTCCTTGATGTTGCTGCATTATTTCTGCGACTGGCGCGGTCACAATTCTTCATTAGTGCATGAGGCACTTGGCGTAAGGAGCGACCCTATCCTTGCCACAGCAGACAATATCTCATCAGATTTTGTTTTGTGTTTGGGGATTTCAGATGACTTTCTGATTCCTTGCTTTGCCGTTGCCCGAGAGCAGATAACCAGCAGGTAAGGAGCAAGTAACCTTATACGTTTATTGGTAACGGTTTTTCCCAGATATTGCCGTTCTCGGCACCAAATTGTGCGAGGCGGTCGGGGTTCGTATGTGTAAAGGGGTGCTCATCTCGAATACTGCGCGCCCGGGCTTTGAGGCCTCATACTCTCATTTTATCGCAGTTTTGTTTTTAATTGAAGCGAAGCCGAAGCGAAGCACTAAACGGCCGACCAAACCTGCCGACAACCCAAGCTCCGAGCCTTTCATTCGATGTCGCTTGTTCGGTACTCTCTCCTCTCTAGAATATGGTGACCTTGGGTCACGTCAAAAGCGTCCAACACCGCCAGAATTGGCTGCGGACAAACCCAATGCTCCGCACCTATGGGATCCATCAAGCATGAAAGCAATGGATATGCCATAGTCGATATCTTAACGTATTTGGCACATCGATTGCTGAAGGGTTCATACGGATCGGTCCCACAGGCTTGTAGCATGGGTTCGACTGCAGCCAAATTTGGTGGTTTTGGGAATTTTAGGTGAACTTTGACTAGACTAAGATACCATATACTGAAAGGATAGGATGTCGGCTATGGCACATCGATTGTGGGGTGTTCTATGTTGATCGGTGCCGTGGGTTTAGAGCGCAGGAATGTTTACGCCCTTACTTTTCCGGTTTTTTGTATTTTTGGTGACCTCTCAGCTGACCCAAGATCACCATATTCTGGAGAGGCAAGATTATTGTCCAATGGCCTCAAATGGCGAAGGTTTAGCGTCGATCGGAGCCAAAAACTCAGGTACGGCGTTGTCAACATATTTGGCCTGCCTTTTTGTCCCGAAGCCGAAGCTTGCGGAAGTTGGTTCGCGCGGTAGTTGCAAATCTGGTGGCGGGAAACGAGCTGATTCGTGAGGACAGTATTCCGCTAGGGTAGTGCTGCTACACGGGTGTTCGCGCAGCCAAGTCCAAACCACAGAACCGCTGAAAAGGTTTCTTTAAACGGCAATCGAAAGCCAGAATGCAATCGCATGAGCCGTTCTGGGATTGGTGATATCTGGCCACCACATGTTCCATGATGTTCGCTTGTGTTTCCTGCGATGTTTTTAAGTGGAACTTTTTTGAGATGAATGCTAGTTGTGTTGCATTCATGTCATTCTTAAAAATAAAAGGTTTTAGAAAACCCTCATTTGTGCAGCATTTCATACTTGATTTATGTCATGTGTAACATGCTGGTAATGGACTAGATTAGGTGGCACATATCTCACCTCTCATAGTGAGTTCTTTAAAGGTGATAAAGGTGCAAGATGAATGAATGCAATTGTATCAGCTAAACCTCACAAATAAGCTATGCCATGTTGTCATCAGTACATATAACATACATTATTAATTCTGTTTAACACCTTCATATTCCTCTAAGAGTACCTTATTGCAATGATATGACACAATCACAGCAGCCGAAGTCAAACTATGCTGTAGATTGATCCGAAGGTATCCGTGCCAGCTGTAGTCTGGCAAGTGGGATCACAAATTTATGTTAAAACAAAAAATCAACTGTGTCTGCCTCCTTAAGTACTTAGCTGGCAGGTACTGAGACATTTATGAAAAGCTTTTTGGGGCAAGCAAAGTACTTAATATTAGTACCTTCTGTTGAAAGTGTGTTATACAAATGCTAGTCGTTATATGCCAAGACTTCTTATTCTCATGCTGCTTGTATCAGTTTCCCACACTGTCCACAAATGATATTATAAGAATGGCATGGATGCATCTGATGTAAAGCCCAATGCCTAAAAATGTAAATCAAAACTTCAAAGGTTTTCTTTATGATGATTGCAACTTAATATGAGATGAATTTGCCCTGCTTGGAAAAGCACAAGGCTTATGCCTGTATGAAATGAACATTTCAGATATCAACTCAGAATATTCTTCAGTGCAAGAAATGGAGCCACCTGAGATATTTGAATTTCCATTTCCACCATACAAGGCTCAAGAAGAGTTTATGAAAACATTATACTGGGCCTTGGAGGAGAAAAAGCATGGAATTTTTGAAAGCCCTACAGGCACTGTAAGTTCGCATTCTCTGGCATAATTTGCACATAGTGATACTTTTGTGCTGTAGGCATCATGTTGTGCAGTACCATTTGCATCTAAGCTCATAATGACCAATTTAGTATATTTATCTCAGATGCATCTGTCTTCATCCAGAACCAGCATCAGGCAGCTTGAATGCAGAAAAAGTTGATGCAGTTTTTGCACATGTTATTGAAGCTGATCTTTCCATCTCCTGATAAGTATAGCAAGACCCTGGTCTGGCCTCCACTCCTCATCCAATCACTACTCCTTTGCTTCCCCAGTATTCCAGCCATAGACCCAAGTCTGGCAGCACCACATCCCACTACGTCAACTCAGCTTGACCCTCCCCTCTCCCCAGGGCAAGTCCCTGGCGCTGATCTGCGGCGCCGTGCGCTGGCTGCGCGACCACGAGGCGCGCGAGCAGGCTGCTGCCGAGGCGGCTGTGGAGGAGCTGCGCGCGGCCGCCGCCGGCCGCTGCGCCCGCCGCCCAGCCCGGCGACTGGCTGGCTGACCAGGCGGCTGACCGCCAGCGCCGCCAGCAGCTGCAGCTGGCCGAGCGGCGGCTGGCGGCGCTGCGACGCGCGCGCGCCCGCGTCACGCTCCGGCCCGGCCGCCGGCCGCCTGCGCAGGTGAGGCAGGCGGGGGAGGGGCAGGACGGAGCGGCCAGAGGTGTCATTTTTGATGTTTCGTCGTTGATGTGGTAATGTGGCAAGCATTATTTGCTTAAAGCAACAAACCCAGGAAAAATAGTCTTCCAGTTTCCAAGTCATACTGAGGCTGAGGTTTGGTGCTGTTTCAGGTGTATGCTTAGGGCATTGCGGGACATCAATTGACCAGCTCCCGAAAGAACCACGCTGTGTAACGACGGCATATCCTGGCTTATAGACTGCATGTCGTCCGCTTGGGTTCGGGTGAGGCTCTCACGCCTCTGACTTCCCCCGCAGAGTACCGAGCTGAGCCCGCTTGGGTTCGGGTGAGGCTCTCACGCCTCTGACTTCCCCCGCAGAGTACCGAGCTGAGCCGCCAGGAGGCCGAGTTCCGCGAGCTGTTTGGCGACGTCATCGAGCCGGAATCGTCGTCGGCGCCGCAGGGAGACGACGCGGACCTGATTGCTGACTTCCACAGCGACGAGGAGGCTGGGTCCTCGGACGAGGGCGGCGACGGTGACGAGGAGGCGTACCACGGCACGCAGGTGCGGCACGTCGCCGTTCGGGAGCCCCATCGGGCCAGTCGAGCGTGTGCGTGTCTGCTGACATGTTTGTTGCAAGCTCCGCGCTACTTGATGCCCTCGTTGATGCCCTCGTTGATGCCTTTTTGATGCCCTCGTGTTTGTTCGCCCTCGCAGTCGGTACGGAAGCCCACACGTCCCAGCGTCGGTAGCTGTTTCCAAGCTTACTGTTCCATACAGTGTGATATCTTGCAATTCAGCAATCACTGAATGGTATAAACTGCTCAATGCTACATCATGATATGTCAGGCAATGGTGTTGTTCAGTTCAGTCATCTCTGCATCCTTGGTAATGCAGTTTGTCATGCTGGAATGTTTTGGTATTACCATGCGCAAGCCATCTG